AAGTTATACCCAACCTCTCTCACCTTTCTCAACTAGAACACTTGAATGTTTCTTACTGTGAGAAGCTATTAGCTATCGAGGATCTTCCCACCAGTTTGAAAACTTTGAGGGCTTCCAACTGCATATCTTTGGAAATTATACCCAACCTCTCTCACTTTTCTCAACTTGAAGAATTTGATTTAAGTAACTGTAAGAGGATGACTAAGATACACGGTATCAGTGGATTGAAATCATTGAGAAGATTGTACTTGAGTGGTTGCAGCCCTCATGTTTGGACAGATCAAAATCTGGCGAAGGTAAGTTACTTCCTTTGCAAGAAAACTCATGCTATTTGGTTATTGAGGTTCCTTTATTTTATTGACTGCTAATTCCCATTGTGTGTATCTATACTACATATAGGAAATGTTTACAAGTTTAGAGCAGTTAAGTGTTCCTGGGAGCAAGGTTCCAAATTGGTTCGCATGTAAATACACACCAAGATACACCTGGAATCCAGATGGGACATTGCATCAACAAGTGTCGTGCACACTGCCGTGGCCTTCACATGCAGGCCTTGATAACAAAGAAATGATGGTGTACAATGGTCATACGGTTGACTTATTGATCAAGAGGGAAGGCGAAGTATTAAGTGAATTTCCATTACAAATTTATCCAGGCACCCGCCAAAATGAAATTTATTTTTACCATTTTCGAGATGGTCGATAACATCACGAGGTTGGAATGTTCTGGTTGGAAGATGGGGATCAAATTGAAGTCGTGAATGGCTCGAGACAATGCGAGGATCAAGTTGAAGACATAGACGAATTGAGGGCATCGTTGAGCTTTCCCTGCATCCATTTGAAGAAAGTAGGGATCAATTGCATATATGAATCAGAAGATACTGAGGATTTTATGTCTAAATCAGAAGAGACCGAGGAATTGATATGCGAATCATCAGGTACCGAGGATTTTATGTCTGCATCAGAAGAGACTGAGGAATTGATATGCGAATCATCAGGTTCCACGTCTAAATCAGAAGAGACCAAGGAATTGATATGCGAATCATCAGGCACCAAGGATTTTATATACGAATTAAAAGATTCCCAGGATTTTATGGAAGAAAAACTGGCCGACTTCTTCAATTCATTGTATGTAGAATGACAATTTGCAGCCTCACTATCTCTTAAGGTACCAATAATACACATTCATTTCATATTGCTAAACTATGTTTTATTTTCCTTGTAACATATGATGCACTAGACTAGACTGCCTTTTCATCCAATGATTTCGAAGAAGAGGTAGATTCATTTGCCTCATTTATAGCGAATCTTGAGCAGCATAGCCTGATTTATATTTAAATTATTAATTCCCTAACTTATACAATATTATGGTTCTTTCTCTTCATGTGCGTGTCTTGAGGCATGCCAGGTGTTATAAATCTTCATTGCATGATATAATTGACATAAAATTTTATACATATAGGATTTCTTTCTACATGCTATTGTTTTTTTTAGGTAGGGCAAATGATGATGAAGTTGCCACATGTTGAGGAGGATGTGAGCTGTTGCTTTTTATTTTTTTGTTTGATTGACGTCATGTAGTTGAGAAATTGAGGAGTAATTACAGTGAAACCAAATCTCGGCTTGAAAGGATCATCTTATTCTATTGGTCTATTAGATCATAACTTAACGTCTTACCTTGTTGCATAATGCTAGCTCCACTGCGTTTCATGCGTTTTTTTCTGTTGTTTTTTTTTGTGACAATAACTGCCTTTTCATGCTCATTATGCATTTATGTTCACAACTCTTCAACTTCAGAGACAAAAGTTTTGAAACCCTGACTTGGTACAAAACTTTCAGAAATAAGGATGGTACCACCTTCTTTGAGAGAGAGAGTTTATATTTCTGGTTTTTCTTTTGCACGATGATATTGCCAACCTCCATTTTTCTTCTAATAGCCTTGATCCTTTTTTCAGGCTTGTCCTCCTTGTGGGAAATTTCCTTCTGTTGATGGATAGTTTGCTCTCTGTATTATTTACATTTTTCTTCTTATCTTTTTGACATATATGATATTTCCACTAATGTTCAGCCCCAAATAAATGGGCTGTTTGGTCTCTCATATTATTGATATTGAAATATATGTAGGCATGTTTAGTTGTTGAATTGTGGTAAGAATCACTTGCATCTAAGTTTTGAGTTTGTTAGGGAGAAGATTGGTTTTCTAGTTATTCAGAGATTGTAACAAAGATTCCAAAATCCAAACTACTATGGAATAAATGGGAATATTTTTTTTTTTTTTTGAAACTAATGAATGGGAATATTTATCTTCAACTTCTCTATTTGTGTAATATTTTGGGAGCAAGAGAGAACCAATATCTATCTTGTAAGGTCTATTGCCACATTACCTGATGATTTTGGGCATCTTTCTAATCTGGAAGAGTTGAATATGCGTTACTGAAATCAGTCGAAAGAGCTCCCAGAAAGCTTTGGAAGTCTTACAAGTTTAAGGATTCTCAAAATTAAAGCATCAATTTGATTCCTTCTACTTTGTCAGGTTTTTGCATCTTGGAGGAATTGGATGCAGAATCTTGTAAATGGGAGGGGAGGATTTCTGATGCGTTTGAAAAGTCTCACAAGTTTAAGGATTCTCAAAATTATGTGCCGCTGGTATCTATTCCTGATCTCCCAACCAGTTTGAAAGTTGTAGATGTACACGGATGCGAAAGTTCCGAAAACATTTCGAAGCTATCTCACCTTTCTAAACTGGAACACTTGAATGTTTCATGCTGTGCGATGCTATTAGTTATCAAGGATATTCCCACTACTTTGAAAACTTTGAGGGCTTCCGAGTGCATATCTTTGGAATATATAGCCAGCCTCTCACCTTTCTCAATTGGAAGAATTGGATTTAACGAACTGTAAGAGGTTGATTAAGATAATGGGTACCATTGGGTTGCAATCTTTGAGACCTCACGTTTGGGTAGATCAAAATCTAAGAAGGGAAGTTACTTCCTTTGCACAAAAGCTCATGTTGTTTGGTTATTGAGTTACCTTTATTTCATTGACCGCTAATTTCCATTTTACTTTCATTGTGTGTATATATAGGAAATGTTTACAAGTTTACGGAACACAATGCGAGGATCAAGTTAAGGACAAAGATGAATCGAGGCCATCCAGAAGGTTTCCCTGCTTCAACTTGAAGAAGGCAGGGATTCATTTTGTATATGAAACAGAAGATACTGAGGATTCATAGAAGAAAAACTGGCTGGCTTCTTCAATTCATTGTATGTTTCATGACGATTTGCAGCCTCACTAATCTTGAGGTTCCGACAAATATTTTCCTTCAGATTGCTAGATTGTGCTTTGTTTTGTTTATAACAGATGGATCACAAATGAAGTCAGTATCATTAGCCTTTTTATTCAATGATTTTGAATGAAAAGTTATTATCTTTTGACTCATTTACAGTGAATCTTGATCAGATAGTCTGGTTTAAATAAAGTGCCCAACTTTTGTAGTATTTTAATGCGCTCTCTCTCAAAAAAAAAAAAAACGTTTGTTTCTTGGGGCATGGCATGATATAGTTTAACAATTTTTAACATATTTGATTTCTTTTGGCATGTTGTTCTTTTGGGTATTGCAAAAGATGATTAATTTGCAACATGCTGGAGAATGTGAGTTGTCATGATTTTGGTTGTTTTCTTGTTTGAATGAGTTATTGTAATTGAGAAATTGAGGAGTAATTAATAGTCAAAGCAAATCTCTGCTTGAAAGGATCATCTTATTCTATTGGTGTGTGTTCTCCATCAAGTCAGAACTTTTAACATATTACCTTGTTGCAGATTGATAGTTCCACTGCCCTTTCATACTCATTATGCATCTATGTTCACAACCCTTCAACTTTATATTGGAAAGAACTCAAAAAGGCGAGACGGAGTTTTGAAACGTTGTGAGAGAGAGAGATCTGGTGTTCATTCCACAAGCCCATTTATGTATAAAAGAGGAGAGATGGTAGTTTAACCGTTCGGTACATCTTGATATGACCATAGAGGTATCTATGGGAAATTTGTCAAATTCGCCCAAAATTTCAATGATTTTACTCTTTATTCATTTATAAAAAATGCACCTAAAATACGAAGCGGTGTTTGGAAAATCAAAGAACCAAAATGGGGTTCAAGAGATACCCAGGCCTATTTTAGATTGTAATTGGGAATCGGCCCGATATAGATAGGCTGGCCTTGTTTTGTTAGAGATCGAGGTGACTTAGGTCACTAAAATAAAACCAAAACAGTGTTTATGGGAATAAGAAACCATTAAAAATAGGGTTATTATCCAAAATTTACCAGTATTTTAGTTTAATTGAAAAAAAAAAAACCCGACTTTCAAAAACTTCGTTTACACAATTTTTCTTCATTTTCACGTTTTTTTTGGACGAAAATGACATTCACGGTAGTCGTTTTACCAAAATTCATATTAAGATTTACGGTAATTAAAATGACGTAATAACTTGAAGTAATATTACGGTAATTAAAATACTGTAATAACTTTATGTAGTATTTTGGTATTTTAAGTATCGTAATAGATAATAATTTTTTTACGGCATTATTTCTACCGTAATTAGGCACCATGTATGACTTCCTTATCGACCAATGAGGGAGAGGAGAAAGAGATGAGACTTGGGAGAGAGGGGTTTTACTGGTGAGAGAGAGAGATTTGAGAGAGAAAGAAAGAGAGAAAAGTGGCGTGGAGAGAAAGAGATAAAGTTTAGGGGTGGATGGAGATGAAATATAGATAAGGATGGGCGGGAGAGTTGAAAGGCATAGAGATGTTCTGTTGGGGGGATTGAGAGAGACAGAGGGGAAAGTTGAGAGAAAGAGGGGTACGTGGGGTTAAAAGTATCGTATAAAAGGAGTTAAACATTATGGTAGTTAAAGTACCATATAAAATGGAAACATTACGGTAGAAAGAATGCTGTAAAGAAAATGTTATCTATTATGATACTTAAATTACCGTAATACTATTTCAAGTTATTACGGTATTTTAATAACCATAATACTACTTCAAGTTATTACGGTATTTTAATTACGATAAAATACCATAAAACTACTTCATGATATTAGGATAAAATGATTACCGTCAAGACCATTTTCATCCAAACAAATCCGTAAATTAAGAAAAAGGATGTAGACGAGGTTTTTTGAAAGTTGAGGTTTTTTAAAGTTGTTTTTTTTTTTTTTCAAGGAAGCTAAAATATAGGTATATTTACCATAATTACCCTAGAAAATAAAATATCACAAACCACAAAGCAACCACAAAGGAAGATGCTGGAACATTATCTCAACCGAACTAAATACACCCCACATTGGTTCTTCTCTTTCAATGGCACATGTGATTAATAGTGTATCTCAAATCTTTGAATTATAGGAAAGCCTTGGCTACAAGCTTTAATCAATATGATAACACTACATCCCGTAATTAATATGAGAGCAATATAGAACATTACATAAACCACCAGGCCTCAATACATTGTATATATGGGGCGTGCCACCACTTTACTCCTACCTTAGGTTGTGTCCCTATTTCTAATTCAAGAAATATTTTTCCAAAGGTGAAAGAAATCAAAGAGAGAAAAAATTAGTGGTGTAGAGATTTATGGGAGAAAGACCCATATTTATAGTGTATCAAGGGGTTGTGTTTACTTTAAAGTTAGTCATTCTTATAAAAATTAGATCCAGATCATTGATCATAGGTGACCTGAGGAGAGAAATTCGAACCATCCAATATTTAGATCAGTAATCTTGATTCTAAGGAATGTGTTAGAACTTTTAATAAAATATGAAAAATAATATCATACTTATCGTTATTTTCTGTAATCTTCTAACAAATATTTTTTTATTGAAATCAAATTTCTTTAATCTCAAGGCCTTCCATTATTGTTTCAATCAAAATCTCCACAAACACTTTCCATAAATTTTCAACTTAATTGCCTTGATTCACATTTCACAAGGCAGAAAATAAGAAAGTACACAAATTAAATTGAGGTGTGCCATCCATGAAGCCCCCACATCACTATGGTGAACTTGGTGAGGGCACATGAGCCCCCTCAAATATTTATGAATTATATAATTATTAAAATATTTTTTAGAATTTTACAAATAAATTTTTTCTCTCAGAATATATAAATACTAAATTGAATATCTCTTAATTTATAAATCTATTTTTTAAAAATAAAATATCCATGGACTCATAAAAATTCAAATAATCAATCTTAAAATTATTTAACATCAAAATAATTAATTTGAAATAATTTTGATGGGAATAATATCCAACTAGGTCTAGGAATTACAATATCACTTAAACACAACTTCATCTTCAACTGTGAACTATGATTAACACTTACTTTCTCAAATTGGCCTAGCATTTCCTATGACCCACAGTCAGCCATTTAGAGAGGGGATGCAATCTCATTCTATGGATTAGCAATTCTCCCCTGAAGACAAGTCCAAGGTCATATATCCTTGATGAAACCATAACTCTATGGTGTATAAGGGTACTTTCTCGCACATATTCATGCTTCATCTTCAATGGTGATTCGCTCTTCCAATACGGCTATCGTATGTACATGTTGTTTAATGGTTTAGTGATGACTTTGGCCCTCTTCTATAAAGGCTTACTATCGGATACAAGGGTCATTGTCTTTTCACTCACTCTCTTGTGCAACTCTGACCTCATCAATGAATGATCCTTCAAACCCTTATCGGTTTTGTTCCAAGCCCATATAATAAAGGTTTCCAACTCAATTGGCCTAGTACACCAAGCTAAATCTGACTATCAACAAATGACATTCACTTTTCTGGGTACCTTTGAACCATATTCTCTCAATCCTTACCAAATTTACCTTACTCCCCATCCCAATCTAGGTCACAATAAACATATCCTTATGGCTTGACTGATTATTACACATGCAACTTGCTCTTTTTTCTCCCTATCAAATTCAAGCTGGAAATTTTATTTGTTAGGAAATTTCATGGAAGCATCTTCTGTAAGAATTAGAAATAGCAAATAATAGAGTGACCGCTTGACTGCCTCAATTATCAAAATATATTATATTTATGGATGAAAGCAATGTATGTAATATGAGGAAAGAGAAAACCCTGCAGTCCTGCTCTTAGCTGGAATGTAATATAAAATCTGAGAGAGAGAGAGAGAGAAAACCTCAAACAAATTGAGGTAAGCAAAGTCGTGTGAGTTTGCAGAGAGAGAGAGAGAGAGAGAGAGAAAGCCGGAACTGCTGCGAGAGGCTCTCAAACAGAGGAAACCCTGAGATATAGAGAAAGAGAGAACCCAAATCACCGGTCAATATCATGTCCGATGGCTGTTTTCCTGAACTACTGTGATGCAGACACAGGAAAGAGCTTCACAGCCCTTCTGGACAAGGCTCTCACTGATTGCGGTATCTCTACCACCTTCTCACTCACACAACAAAAACCACCACCACCACCGAGAGATACAGAGAAAGCTATTGGAGAATGTGAGGTGTTTATAGCCGTCTTTTCACCCAACTATGCCTTCTCTGTCTCCTCCCTTGACAACCTCTCTTATGTACTGAGCTTGCCAAGGAGGAGGACTATCCTTCCTGTGTTTTATGATGTCGATCCTTACCATGTCCGCTGGCAAAATGGACCTTTCGAGAGAGCCTTCGAGGATCACAAAAATAAGAAGACGATGCAGGGGTGGAGAAATGCTTTGAAAGAAGTTGCCGATCTTTCTGGTTGGGTAAATAAGGATTACAGGTATAACCAAACATCTTTGATCTCTTGAAAAATGAACAAAATAGATCGCTCTCTCATGTTCTATCTTTGATGTTAAGTTCAGGAACTCCATACTAAGTAAGCATAAAATGTAGAACCACTTGTATTAAGGGGCGGTTTGGATCTACGGGTAATCTATTTCTATTGAAATACATTTGGGAAAAGTATTTTCCTACGAAATAGATTTCGGCTGTTTGGATGCTACATCGATAAATGACATTTTTTATGTTTTTTTTTAAAAAATTTGTGAAACATTTTTATTATATTATTCATTATAATAAGAGGTAGTTTCTCGCTCTAAATATTTTGTTGGGCAATGAAGTTCTAAACTCGATGGGTTAATATTTGACAAACAAAGCATGATAAATAAAAGATGAAACACATACCACAAGAACACAAAAATTTCTGTAATTCACCTCAAAATGACTATATCCACAATCACTACAAACTGAAATCCAATATTCTAATGAAAGTTATATCAATGATTTTGGAACAAACATCTCGAGAAAACTCTTTTAAATCATTCTCCATTCCTTCTCTTTACTTCTGGCAACCATTACCGACAACACCAGATATTTACTTCTGGCAACCATTACCGACAACACCAGATATTTACTTCTGGCAACCATTACCGACAATACCAGATAGAGACGCGGGAGTAATGAGAAACTGAATTTCTCTCTTACTAAAAGGAAAACAACCCAAAATCTCTATAAAAACCGTTTCTCTACAAGAAACCAACCTTTCACTTTGCAGGAGTCTTCAGGAGACATCATCAATGTTTCTTCTCATAGGAAGCTCTCTTCTATAAGATGAAATTACATCTAATACACACGAGGCTATATATCTATTTCTTTAGAGGAACTACCATTCTCCTATGCTGACCCAAATAAGGCAGAATTCTCTGCACTTTCATCCCATATATATAAAAAGAAAAATGATCTTATAGGACCGTCCCCCACCCATGTGTGTAGGACTCCAAATGATCACCATTAAATTTAGCACGAATATCTAAAAAATTCAAGTCTCACATCCATGTAATAACGTTTTTAGAGATCCATGTCAAATTTAATGATGATCCTTTGGGGTCCTACACACATAGGTAGGGGAGGGTCTTATAGGATCATTAAAAATAGAAATCCATACTAAATAGATGATGTTACGTATATTTCAAAACCATGAGATAAATTCAAGAGTCCTAATCTTTTTGGATTTTCATTTCCTTGAAAGGTTACCAAATATCAATATCAATCTCATGTAATAAGGAAATATCTCAATCCCAAAAGTTTCCCGCTATTTTTCTTGTTCTTTTTTTCTCACTAAATAACCCAATATATAGAAAAACAAATCACCCAAAGAAGTGATACATGCGATCAATCTTTTCCATAACTTTTAGGTACATAAGTTTATCTTTATCTAGTGCGGACTCTCATGTCTATCTTAGCATAACTAGAACTAACCCAAAAAGATAATTTTCTTAATAATATGAACTACCCAAAAAATATGAAATCCAAATAGACGTCACGTGAGACCCCTATCTCTTGCCCATTTAGAGATATCCAAAAAATATTTGTTTCTTAAAATTTAGGATCAACGTCCTTCTATATATAGAAACCTTGAGATATCATGTGGCTTCGCTTGAAATGCAAGACACATCAACAAATCCCCACCTTGACTTGGATGCCACAAGAGATTCCCATTGACCGTTTTCTTCACACGTGCCTCTACAAGGCTCTTACTTAGGCAACGTATTAGTCAAGTCCAAGCATAGCTTGAACTTTTTCAATGGAACAGGATTTTTCAACATAACTGCAACATCCTTCTATGAATCAATTAATAAAATGATATTTGATATCAATATGCTTCGTCCTTGCAAGATATACTTGGTTATTCGCCAAATCTATTGCACTCTGACTGTCACAATAAATAACAGTCTCATCCTGTCATAAGCCCAAATTGTTTACAAGCCCTTTGTGCCAAATGACTTCTTTCATTGCTTTAGTCGTAGCAAAGCAACAATAGTTTGTAGCATCGACACCCAACCGATTGGAGCAATTGCAAGTGTAAGCACATAACATGTAGTAGATCTTCTATAGTCCAAATCATCTGCGAAGTTAGCATCAACATAACCAACAACCTTGTTACCAAACTTGTTATCTCTTTCAAACATCAGCCTCATATCTGATGTACCCTTTAGTTAACGTAGAATATATTTTATTGCATGCCAATGTTCATTTCTTGGATTAGCCATATACTTGCTAACAATACTAATGGCATGAGAAATTTCTGGTCGAGTACAAACTATTGCATACATGAGGTTTCCAATTGCACTCACATACGGAACACGTGACATGTATTCTTTTTCAACATCTAAATTTGGAGATAATACTGTTGACAATCTGAAATGTGTAGCAAGAGGAGTACCCACGGGCTTTGAATTTTCCATCTCGAATCAAGGGATGACTTTTTTAATGTATTCCTTTTGAGATAGCCACAATTTACCCAATTTTCGATCTCTAAGTATCTCCATGCCCAAAATTTTCTTTGCTGAACCTAAATTTTTCATTTCATATTCTTTGACAAGCTGAGTCTTCAATTTACTAGTTTCTAAAGAATTATTTGTACCAATAAGCATATCATGCACATAAAGAAATATATAGATGATCAAACCATTAGTAAATCTCTTAAAATAGAAACAATTGTCATACTTACTTTTGATATACCCATGTCCAATCATGAATGTGTTAAAACCGTTTGTACTATTACCTAGGAAACTACTTTAGACCGTACAACAACTTCTTCAACTTGCAAACATGATACTTATTTCTTTTAACAACAAACTCTTTTGGCTAAGTCATATAAATCTATTCTTCTAACTCTCCATGAAGGAATGCGGTCTTTATATCTAGTTGCTTTAACTCCAAAGTAAACAATACACCATGGCTAATAAAACCCGAATAGAAGTGTGTTTATAACTGGTGAGTAAATCTCATTATTGTCAATACCTTCTTTTTATGCGTAGCCTTTTGCAACCAAACATGCCTTAAATCAATTACCATTAGTCTCAGGTTACCCATCTTTCTTCTTGTAAACCCATTTACAACCATTGGCTCTCTTTCCTATAGGCAACATCATGAGATTTCAAGTACATTTGTTTTGAAGAGACTCCATCTCTTTATCCATGGCTTCACTCCGCCTGCTACTGTCACTATCCTGTGTAGCGTCCTTAAGGTCCTGTTTGATAACTGGAAACAAGTTCATGAAATGTAAATGGAATTTCTTGAAGAACTGTAAATTAGAAGTTACTTGAGAAGTTCCTAGTTTTTGTTTTTGATAACCTCCCTTGGGACGTTAATAAGTTCTTAGTTTTCGTGTTTGATAACTTCCTGGGAAGTTAAAGAAGTTCTAGGTATCTATATTGGAATAGCTTTAAATATGTAAGATATAAAATGCTAAAATTGAGACCTAAATATTGTTTATTTTTTACTAAATTGTAGAATATTATTTTTTGTGATACAATATCAATTGAAAGTAAAGTACGTTGGATCGAGAGAGAGAGAGTGTGTGTGTTATGAGATAGAGTTTTATTGATGAGTGAGATAAGCATCCTCGAGAGATATATATTTGTACATCAATTGAAGCAGATGTTACTTTCACACTTCTTTGCACCTCAAAGTTGAAGTACTATGCAGACAATGTCAAGCACAACCTTAATTCAATATAGTGTACCAAATCAGTAATTTCCTAATCGAGTGTCTCAAAATAGAAATCAATATATTTTCTAAACTATTGCAGGTATACAATTTGTTGAGTCTTTTTACAATTATGAAGTGGAATAGGTGTTTAAAGTTCATAAGTAGGTTGTTGATGACTTTCTTCTTAAACCGATTACAAATCTCTCTCGCTATTCCTCACACACACATGCACACTCATATCTATTGGCGACAATTGTGGATTTGGTTTCCTGTATTTTATTGGACTGTGCTATAATAGCTTCAACACAATTTAAAAACACACATGCATAATACAAACAGTAAGAAATCAAACCATTCAACAATAACCAGTAATAACTTGAGCACTACTTACATTCACCATTGATGCATCTATATCCCAATGTAAAAAATATGTTATTCAAATATAAAACAATACTGTTGTTTGTCCCTTAAAACAATAATTTTGGGTTTGGTTTCCCGTCGTCTTTTTTATCCTGATGATACTAGGTCATCAAATGAGGATGAGCTAGATTCATCCTGAACTTCTAATAGGGTGTCATCAGAGCATGTAGTGTTGGGCCTTTCTGGCTTAATATTTATGCCACCTCAAATAGATTTGTATGTCTCATCTACCCTGCCACCCTCATAGATATAATAAAATATATAATACTACATAAATATATAATAAATTTATGGTAATAATTTAAATATAAATATATGATATTCATAACATACTATAATATATAACATATTGTATTTTATATTTATTTTTAATATATATATATATATATATATGAAAATATTTTATATTACATAAGTATATGAAAAATAAATATATTATATGTAATATAGAACATAATATAATAAATAATATAGTGTATTTTTATTTTATTTTCTTATATATAATATATAATAAAGCATATTATATTACGTAAATGTATAATAAATGTATATATATATATATATATATATAT